ATCGACCACGTCACCGCCGACGACCTATGACTACTGTAACTACTGGTGTCCTCTAACCATTGTTGTTGCCGCTATTATATTATGATCGTCGCCGTTGGTGTTCTCAGACCATGCCATTGCCGGAGTCCTTCACCGCCACCGTCGCAATAATCCTCCAATGAATCTCAATTCTTTATTTTTTTCACAAACATAAAAATTATATTTTGTGATCAACTCCAATTCTAATAGATTTGGAATTAAAATTAAAACTTGAAAGCCTTTTTGAATACTATTTCTAAAAATAATTTTTTGATTTTCTAAACAAAAGAAAAATAAAAAAAAATCAGTTTGACAAAACCTATTTTGAAAAAAATAAATAAATAATTGTAACATGTTAGGCCACCAGGCCCATTTACACACTGATCTTATGACATTGAATTCATTAGTCATTTATTAAGATATTAGGTTCAAGGATCCGTGAAAAGTTGAAGCAGGCACAGAATCGCCAGAAGAGTTATATGATGTCAAGCATCGTCCACTGGAGTTCAGTGAGGGTAGCACATGTTTGTGAGACTTTCACTTGTCACCGGTGTTGGTCGGGCACTCGGAGTGAGGAAGCTGAGCCCGCGATATATTGGGTCATACCAGATTTTTGGTAGAGTAAGACTTGTTGCCTACCGGCTTGCCTTGCCTCCGAACTTGGCCAACAACCACGACGTGTTTCACGTGTCTCAGCTTCGGAAGTACATAGCAGATCCTTCGCATGTGGTGCAACCTGATGATGTGGAGGTTCGGGAGAACCTAAAGACTCCCGTTGGACCACTCAAGATTCTCGATCGTGGCGAGAAGCAGCTGAGGAGCAAGATCATTCTGATGATCAAAGTGCAATGGACCGGAAGAACTCCTGAGGAGTGTACTTGGGAGCGTGAGAACGAGCTTCTCCGGCAGTACCCCGAGTTTCGAGAGAGGTATGTTTTATAATTTTGAGGACAAAATCCTAAAAAGGTGAGGTGAATGTAAGAAGCCACACCGTTAATTAAGGAAATTATTTAATTAATTATGTTAAATTAGAAAATGATTCCATAATTGACCCTAATAATTATTAAGAGGCTTTAATAATTATGATAAGTGATTAAGAATGCTGAAAGTCGCTTTTCGGAAGAAAAGTGCAAATACCGATTCTGCTAGTCGGTATAAATGCGTAACGAAAAAATATCCCAGAAAATTATAATAAGTGCATGATAATTCCTAGAATAATTTATAGTACTTGTAAAACGAGTTTCAAGTCAAAATAATGAGAGCTGATGCCAGAAACTGATACTGGCTAGGAAAAGCGCGTACCGGAAAGGTGCTCCGAAAAATATAATAAAAATATGATAATTCTTGAAAAATTGAGTAGGTTAAGAATCCTAAGTTTGGGATTAAAATGCTAAGTGTAGCAATTAAAGTTAATACTGTGTGTTTAAGTGTTAAACCGCTATAAATAGGCTTGCTTAGCCCAAAACCCTAGGTAACTACCATTTCCTTCGTGAGACCCCTTGTGTGGCTGACCATAATACTGCTCCATTGGTCTTCTTCACCTTCTCTTGAGCAAAGTTGATACCTTTTTGCATTGATTCTTCTTTTTTCTTCCTGTAAACACTTGAGAATCATCATTGTGAGGGTGTGAGGGTGCATTTCTTGAGGCTTTGGCCACTGTTTGTAGTCAGTGAGTGTGCTGAGTTGGAGTTTGGGTTGAGAGCCACCTTGTTCTTGGCTTGTGAAGCTTCAAGGAGCTTCCTTTGTGTAGAAAGGTCCAAGCTTGTGCGGTCATTTTCGTTCCTCTTCATAGTCAGAACCTTGGAGTTGTCTAGTGAGCTCCAAGAGCATCTCCCTTTGCTATTTTGAGCTTGTGGTATGATCATCACACTTGAACTTAAGTTTTTATGCTTAAAAATGGAACCTTGATGCATGTAATGATTAAAAGATGATAACCTAACGTTGGGTAATGTCAAACACACCTAGAAATGCATGTTTAGGTTTCTGTAATCGGTAAAAATGGAACCTTTGAAGGATATCTTCGCGAAATGCAGAAACTACATTCTGTCGCGAAATATCCGGATATGGGGATCTGGATATCCGGATATTGATATCTGGATATAAGGATCTAGATTGCCAGAGAGATATTCGGATATTGGATATCCGGATATGCCCCCGAGGAATATCCGAATATTTTGGGATTTCGTAGAACAGCAGCGGTGCTGTGTGTACAGTAGGCTATTGGGGGTTTGTGGACCCTAGATTGATGAAGTTGAACTTCTGTAATTAATGAACTAAGTCAGAATCATGTGATTTGGGGCTTGTGGCTTTGTTAGAAGCCTTAAGACGTAAAACGTAAAGGAAAGACGTTGTCTTTAAGTGTATGCTTGTAGAGTTTGATTAATGATGTATTATTGGTCCATAACAGATTGTGATACTGCTGTGTTTGGGCTTTGAGATTGTGGACTCTTGGCTGGGATAGCTAGCTTGCAAGGTAAGTTTTCGTGTCCTCGGTTTAGCCATGTTGTGGTTCCACCATGTCCTATGGGGGTATGGTTATATGCATGCTGTGTTACATGCTTTTGATGTTTTGGAAGTGCTATTGAGCTGTTATATGCTAGTGCCTTTATGATATGCACGTGGCGTTCCACCTATATGGTAAGCTTGAGTATGTGGTACATACGATATGGTGAGGTTGTGGGTGAGGTGCAAGCGGTGTTCCTTGTACTATCTGTAGGTAATAGACCTATTCCTGTATTTCTCTGGCCTGTAGAATAGTATTGACACACATGGCATGAATATCTGTTGCACTACACTGAGTTTTGGAACTTATAATGAGTTACTGCTTTTAGAACTTATATTGCACATGCAAGGGAGCTTGGGGTGGAAGATCCTTGAGGACCCCTTGTCTTACTGAGATTTCTGGTTTAGAGATCTCACCCCATGTTTGGGGAATGCTTATTTCAGGTTCAGGTAATGCGGGGGTTGAGACCTCTAGTGGCAGGAGACCAGAGCTTAGCTGATAGATGTTGCATGTTTATGCTGCTATGTTGGATGCGAGATTCTGTTTACTGTCTTATGCTTTTAGCTTCAGTTTATGGATTTATATGTAGAGACCTTGTTGGTTATGCTGTTGATTTGGTGAGCATGAGAATTGTCCATGCCACATAGACTTGATTATGCCTTGTTTTATTTGGAGTAGTATTAATGTATCAAGATATTATCCGGATTACGTGTTGTAATGTCGTGACTTAGATACTCATTATATCTATATTTTGAGGTATTTCAGTTAGACGTCTTATTGCAATTTACATACATGCGATATTTTATGAAATTGATTAAGTAATCAACTTGACTAAGTATAATGACGTCATAATTGAAAAAAAAAATTGCATTTTTAATTAAGCGCAGCTTAATACGATATTATGATAACAATACCGGATATACACAGGGTGTTACAATAGGGAGCTCATGGAGAAGGACCATCATCAATATGGGATAAGTTAGACCAATTACAACAAGTGTGTCTAACAACATATCTCAACGAAAAACTTTAAAGCATTGAGTTTACAAGTCCTTCCACTTATATGAATTTCACTTAGTTCATTACCAACCAAAGTGAAACTCCATCACACTTAAATATCCCAGTAATATCAATTATTGACTGATATTTCCAATCAATCTACTTTTTACATTATCTCTCATGTAGACATCTTTGTATTTATCATTCAGATATTAATCCAAATTTCAAATTATTTGGTTCATTTTGTCTTTTCTCTGTTGACTTTATTTTTTCACATTTTACTTTTTTCTTAATTAATTTCTCGTACCGACACAATTATATTATTTCTAAGCCTTATTTTTATTTTTGATTGTACTTGATTTCAACATCTCGAAAGTTATTCTTAATGAAAATTTATAAATTATTTTATCACAAAAAAAGAATATCTCACAAGTTCAACTGTCTTAATGCATATTTGACCGCCAAGATAAAACCATCTACGGGTAGTAAGCAATTCAATTAGTGAATTATTAAAATGTATATACTTCTAACATTTCGAGGAAAGAAAGAATTAAAACAAACGCATATGATAATATATCAGCAATCTTTTAATAATATATACTTTACGGCCCTTCAAAATAATGGGAGCTAGTAATTAACACCTAAATAAAAACTGAGGAACTAATTGAAGCCCTTTCGATCATTGTCTGGGTATTTTTAGTTCCTGATATTTCCAAAAGGGCAGTGATAAATTTTCTGCCTTCATTGCGCAAACACGTTAACATAAGCCCATATCACTTTCGTAATAACGCGTTTCTACTTTCTATCCACCCAGCCATTTCAGAAAAAGGAAGAAGAAAAAAAAAAAAAAAAAAGAAGTTGAAGTAAGAAAGAAGCAGAAAGGCAAAGAGAAAGTATTCATTAATTCTTGCATGCCTTCAACAGTTCAACCTCTCTCCGAAGATCAGAATAAGGCAGAGCAAGGGGGAAAAATAAAATAAAAAGCTTCTCGGTTATTTCTAAATTAAGCATTTAAAATGAAGGTAGGGTGGGTTTAGCCTAAAGATAACTAAAGTAAAATGGAATAGAAGAAGGTAGCACATATATAGAATTAAAGAAAAGATAATTGATTAGTTAATGAAATTGGAATTAAGCATAAACAAAATTAAATTTGTAAAAGCACACTGTTTTCCAAGTGTAAAGCCAATTTGGTTGCTACTTTCCGCTGTTTTAGCTTAAAGACAGAAGAGAAGCTTATAAAAGCAGCCTATTGGCTTGACGCTTTCATTAGGTCCGATTTCATTGAAAACACCTGCTTTGGTGATTTTATTACGCCACAAAATGGATGCTCCTTTTCAGCATATGTAAAACCTTTTCTCCTTTTCTTTTCTTATAGCAAACTGCACATACCAGGCTACATTTTTTTTTTTTTTTTTCCTGCTTAGAACAAAGAGAGAGAGTTTGGTTAAGATAGATTAGAAAGATCAGACAGGGTAGCTCCATGTCTGAGACACACCCAACTTTGTGTACTCTTTCATCCATTCTTGCTCTTCTTCTAATCTTCCTTCTCATCAAAAGAAAGCAAGCCAGACCCAGGCTTAATCTTCCCCCAGGAAAAATGGGCTGGCCCTTTGTGGGGGAAACCATTGGGTATTTGAAGCCTTACTCTGCTACTACAATTGGAGACTTTATGGAGCAGCACATAGCAAGGTAAAATAACCATCACTCACAAAATTACAAAACTTCTTTTTTTTCCATTGAAAAGAGAGCAGACTCTTAACTCTCACCCAATATCAGCAGGTACGGTAAAATTTATAAGTCGAAATTGTTTGGTGAGCCAGCAATAGTTTCGGCAGATGCAGGGTTGAATAGGTTCATATTACAGAACGAAGGGAAATTGTTCGAGTGCAGCTACCCTAGAAGCATTGGTGGAATACTCGGAAAATGGTCCATGTTAGTGTTAGTTGGCGACATGCATAGGGACATGCGGGTTATATCACTCAACTTTCTAAGCCATGCCAGGCTCAGAACACATCTCTTGAAAGAGGTAGAGAAGCATACCCTTCTGGTTCTAAGCTCTTGGAAGGATAATTCCACATTCTCAGCTCAAGATGAAGCCAAGAAGGTAATTTTATTCTATTTTTTTTTTTTTTTTCATATTTAATAGATAAAGAGCACACGAATCAAAGTAAAGGATTGAAGTAAAAGCTACTTGGCTTTATTATATTGCAGTTCACCTTCAATTTGATGGCAAAGCATATCATGAGTCTGGATCCTGGGAATATGGAGACAGAGGAACTAAAGAAAGAGTATATCACTTTCATGAAAGGGGTGGTATCGGCTCCATTGAATTTTCCTGGAACTGCATACTGGAAGGCATTAAAGGTAATATTAATGTTAGAGAAGTATATAAAAAAAACATGTGATAAGAGGCACCAAATGTTTATATACTTCTCTAACAAATAATAATTTAAAGAACCCCATTTTGTTTTTCTAATTAGCTAGGAGTACTGAATTTTTAATCCTGTCCTGTAAATTTTTTACAGTCCAGGTCCACCATACTAAAGTTCATAGAGGGGAAAATGGAAGAAAGAGTCAAAAGAATCCAAGAGGGAAATGAGAGTTTGGAGGAAGATGATCTTCTAAACTGGGTTCTGAAGCATTCAAATCTTTCAACCGAACAAATTCTTGACTTGATCCTCAGCTTGCTCTTCGCTGGCCATGAAACTTCATCGGTAGCCATAGCTCTAGCTATTTACTTCTTGCCCGGTTGTCCTCAAGCTATGAAGCAGTTAAGGGTAAGCTTGTATGAAGATGCTACGTGGAATATTATCTCTTAACAGTTTTCAGAAGAATATATACATATTTTCCCAGTTCAGCTTCTAACGCAAAAGATTTGAAATTTTACTGCTAATAATTAGTTTTTTTTTTTTTTCATTTTTGTGAAAAATAATAGGAAGAACACAGAGAAATTGCCAGAGCCAAGAAGCAAGCAGGGGAAGTTGAACTGACTTGGGATGATTACAAACGAATGGAATTTACTCACTGCGTAAGCCACATATAATATAATAATTGGTGGTCCTGTCCCTTTTTTTTTTTTGAAAATAAACTATGTATTGTTTGATAAATATTAGCAATATTATATGGGATGATGGAGCCCTTTAAAGTGTTTACAACAGAACTGCATTATCAGTAAATTTGATAACACAAAATTAGAAAGAAAGAAGAAAAAATATAATTTTATGCAAAGTAATTAGATTATATACAAGTATATAAAGTATTGTATGTATAAAATTATTTGCTCTTTTTTTTTTGCGAAGGTTGTGAACGAGACACTTCGGCTGGGAAATGTTGTTAGGTTCCTTCACAGGAAGGCTCTGAAAGATGTTCGGTACAAAGGTATATTGGAGGATATAGTATTATTGTTCTTTATTAGTAGAAAGATCAAAATATCTTTTGTGGAAAAAAGAAAGAAAGATAAAAGGTAGTTTAGGTGTCAAAATATAGTAAATGTAAAGTCGCCGGAAATGCAATGCGTTTTTCCATATTGAAAATGTTATTTTGTGTTTGAAAGGTTATGACATTCCATGTGGGTGGAAAGTCCTTCCGGTGATTGCAGCCGTGCATCTGGATCCTTCACTTTTTGACGAACCTCAACACTTCAATCCATGGAGATGGCAGGTCAGTTCTACTAATAACTATAGACAGCACGCCTTGTATAATTATTATCCATCCATCCTTTTTCTTCTTCTTCTTTTCTTAAAGCCAAAGCTTAATTTAAAATATATAGCTATTAGGAAAAGGGAGAAAGAATAATAAGAAGAGGTCCCCAAGCACTTCAATTGGTCCTTGCGGTGGATCCCCACATGCAATCACTGCCTCACTGGCTTCCTTTTCCTTGGAGTTGGAGGTGTGATGTGAGCAGTTGGTGTAACAAAATTTAGTTGAATTTGGGGATTGGGATTTTTGCTAAAAATGTTAGCATGGAATAGTTACATATAGTTTCTAGTCTCAGCTCATTCAGCTTCGTAAGTTATCTTCCTTTCCAGAACACAACAGGTCTTTACGTTCGGCGTTTCAGAATCAGACCCAACATAACGTACAAACGCCGTACGGCTTTGACAAAACTGAAAAGAATGCTTCATCCGTTGATTATTGTTGTTGACTTGGTCCTATGGCTATAGCGCTAGTAGTAGTCCCAAACGTACGCTTATTCATCACCAATGCACATGCTTCTAAAGTTCTAACTCTACGGTAGTACCCTAACTAAATTATTCGGTGCGAGGTCAACATTCTGATGATTAATTAATTAACGAGTAAATATGTTTTTGGTCCTAGCAAATTTTACTATGCCCCCGCTTTAGTCCCGAGCAAATAAAAAGGCTCATCGTGGTCTTTAAAAAATTCAAAATAAACTCATTTAGTTGAGATCGTAGTTCTTCACAAATTCAAAAAAGACCCATATTAGTCCCTTAGGACCACAATAGACATTTATATTTGCTAGAGACTAGAGCGGGCATCTGAAATTTGCTAAGGACCAAAAAGAATATTTCCTATTAATTAATTAAGGGGAGGGTCATTGTGTCAAGTTTCACAAATAGGAAGGTGATAAGGGAAGAGTGCACTCGAGAGGTCCTCATGAGAGTTTTGGGGTAGCCAGCTACATACATGACCAATTACCATTACCAACGATCTGGTCGCGTGAGATGATGAACTGTCATGATCAGCGAAGGGGATGTTGTGAACAGTACGGATGTGGGTCCCAATGGATGCGATGATGATGAGCATGGCTCTTTTGTGAACGTGTGGGCAGTGCCTGAGGTTCCAGATCATTAAAGCCCATGTGGATGTGGGGCTCTCACATGCACGTGCAATTGTGCTTTTCCTTTTTTCTCAACCTGGTCCTAATTCCTCACCCAAATTTATTTATTTATTTATTTATCTATTACTTTAATCATGTATGTAGCCAAGTGGGAAAAGTGATCGAATTGAGGATAACAATATGATGGTGACAAGTAGCGTAACCCGCTCCAGCACCAGAAATCATCAATCTAAATTCTAAAGTTGCTTATCCTCAGCCTTGGGTTGTTGGATATGGCCACGTTCTCCTGATATATATATAATCTGCTACCTGTTTTCCTATGTTATTATTGTAGAGAACCATATGATATCCATGAGAAATAGACAGTTCCATAAATCAAATGCATTTTTCACATCATTATGATGTTAGTATTCCCTGTCTTTTTCATTATTATAGATAACCATAAACGTTTCTTATTCTATTATTTTATTTTGATAATTTGATATCTGATATCTGATATTGATATTGAGTTTGGTGGTGCAGAACAGTGGTAGTCTTGGAAGTTGCCCAAGTTCGAGCACAGCAAGCAGTAACTTCTTACCGTTCGGGGGAGGACCAAGACTATGCGCGGGATCAGAGTTAGCTAAGCTTGAAATGGCTGTTTTCATCCACCATCTCATTCTCAATTACCATTGGGAATTGGCTGATACCGATGAAGCTTTTGCATACCCTTTTGTTGATTTTCCAAAAGGCCTATCTATCAGAGTCCAAACCCACTCTTTGATTTGAGGTCAAAAATCCACCCCTTAATTAGTACAGCTCACCCATTTATATATAATAACTCCAAGCCAAGCCTATAACAGAGACTTCATCAGACTTAATTTGCAGCTGCCTGCTATAGCCTCTCGTGTTGGATTTGGAGACCAATCAAAAGCCAAAGCTACGTGAAGAATTTTTTAAGTTCAAATCTTACAATGGCATCCCTTAATCAAATTAAAGCCTTTTGACTTTCTCGCGTAGCGCAAATGTCTGAAGGGAAGACAAATTAAAAAAACCAATTAAGTACAAAGTCATGCATTAGGACCACTTCTTCCCTTCTCCATTTTCTTCTCCCTCTATGCTAAAGCAGAATTTTACTGCTCCCCACCCCACCCACATTGTACATTTTATATATTCCTCCCAAAAGGCCAGATCGAGTGAACATTTATTCATTTTTATCATCCGAGTACTGTAATCTACCTTTCCTACGATATATAATAATCCAATTTTCTTTTGTGTATGATCTATTACTTTCTTTCCTTTAAGCAAAGAGATGTTATTCACATTTAAATCCAAGATTGTGAATCATATTATATATATACCTTGCAAAATAGTACTTTTAAAACAATTTAAGTTAATTGTATATTTCTGAAAAGAATAAAAGGTTAAGACCAATGATACCATGAATGCTGGGTTTTTTGGGTACATATTTGTTGTAGTTTATTTTTTATTATTAACCCATTACTTTTCCTTTAATTCAATACATATGCATGGTGCGAGGTCCAAGTTGGGATAAAGGTTAAATATTCCAACGTCTAAGAAGGATAGGTTTACAATTTGGGAGGCAGTCCTATTGGTGACTAATGGCTATAAATGTTGTAACGGGGTTTTGGACGGACACGCCCCAGTCATGGAAATTTAGTACAATCGCAAACTACAAACCAAAATAAGTTCTGAACTTTTTTGCGTGAGCCATCTCCGTAATGATGGCTGTTGCGGGCACAAGTTGCACATTTTGACTTTGCTGTAATGTGATTAATTAAGTAGACAGCGAAAAGAGGAATTCATGAAGGCCCCACACAAGACTCCTCCATTCATCAACATTCAGAATGTCGGGCACTCAGTTTGCTGCTCCTTCTTTCCTTCTTTCTTTTTTAAAATATTATTTATTATTCACATCGATGTTGGATTCATGAATCTTATTATATTGAATTATGAATTTATATAATTGTTTTATAATTTTAAAGGGATGAGTTTATTATATGACAGAATAGCGATTATATATGCTATTCACGATCTATAATCAACGATCATATTAATTAACTCAAATTGAACATAGATCTAGACCTCCTTTTTTTTGTTATCGTATTGTATGGCATATATGATGAAGCATATATATTAGTTAAAATATTCATTTTAATCAACCAGTAAATCATCTTGACGGGCTCAAAAATTAGTGTTTGTCATTCTATTACAATGGTATCAAATTGGAGAAAAATGATATCTAATCTCATTTAATCTGGAATCAGTTTATGTACCAGCTAAGTAACTAAGAGAGAACAACATAATCTCCCTCTAAGTAAATAACTAATTAACTATATGTATATCCATGCTTTAATCGTAAATAGCGCCAGACGACAGCATTCTTGTCAGGTTATATTTGACATGTAGCGTCCTTGTTAGGTTAACTTTCGCTTTCAGATCTTCTTTAATTGTGATCGTATTGATGTGTCTTCGTCCTCTCTTTCAATATCTGTGGTCTATGAAGCTGCACGTTATGGAACCAAATGAGGATTCTTCGAAAAATGATGAATACGTAGTTTCTCGATGTCATAAAAAAATTTAGAAGGAAAAACGTAAAGGAAGGTTAGGACTTAGGACCCTACCAACAGTCTTCTTCAACCAGACAAAAGCCAAAAATTGGCTGTTTCGTGCTTCTACTCTTTATAGTTTCAGGAACAACAATTATCAAGTTAAGAAAAGATGGACACGGAAGGAAATTAATCTTATTTTGTATTTTAACAAGTTTTACAAAATATCCAACCTAAACAATGATGACGATGATTCTGAATCAATTAACCAAGGAAGAAAGCTACTACTGCTTCGCTCAAAATCAAACAAAGTGTTGGGTTCAGTCCAATCAGAGCATAAGTTCACAGAAAAATCCAATTTGTTAATTTGGCTGTTATTTCTAGTTAGATAATTAGATACAACTCAATGCAATTCAACTCATTTTCTTCAATGAATTAGCATTATCTTAGAGGCATAATGCAAGACATAAACGGATAAGATTTTTTGTTTTAAGTGAAAATCGCATAAGCATTTGTGAATTGACATCTGACAAGTTGTGGTATTCATGGCACACTTGTTCTTTTCTTTCTATGGTTCAATAATTCATGGAATTCACATTAAGTCTAAAGGGACAGTACCTGGCCGAACAAAGTGTGATTCAGGGGCGCTGTAGATCTATATATGATGACAAAAACAAAATCTAGATTCAGTGCTAGGCAATGGATACCTCAGCAAGAAGATTAATTCATCTAATAACAATTACCACTTTTCATTCGTTTATTTTTTCAGGGTCTTCGGCTCTAAATCTTTGGTGCTATTATTATAACAAAGATTCAGTGCATCCCACGAATGAAAATATTACATGTCAGTCAAAAAAATTTTTTTGTCAACTTCTCTCTTTCTCCTCTTACGTAATGCTCTCATTAATGAAATATATTGAATCTAGATTCAACAGTAGTACCAAAGATTTATTCACAACTGCCTCTCCTAAAAAATGTAAAACATCAAAATTGGGTTTTGAGAGGCCTTTGTTCTAATTAACAAGTTGTGGTATTCATGATGGCACACTTATTCTTTCTTTTCTATGGTTCAATAGCTCATGGACTTCTCATTAATTCTAAAGGGACACCTGGCCCAACAAAATGTGATTCAAGGGTATATGGATCCATGTCATATGGTGTCTAAATAGAGACTATAGACCTACATACGAGATATGGTGCCTACACAATAGATACCTCAACTACGAGAATATCTTTTGTTTTACACGAATACCTATTCCTTTACTAAAAAACAATAGAAAATAAAATTCAGGTGTCAATAATCATAAAAAGATGAAAAAAAAGTAAAATTAAGTATATTAATTTTTTCTAATTTTGACAAGGATACTGAGTTTTCAATACCCTCGTACTATTGAAAATATTTTCCTCAATTACCAAATTAAGTGCGTATTTGAATTAGTGTATTTCAAAATTAGAATAAATTTAATAAAAAGTTTTTTTAATAAATTAATTGTTCCTTCAAAATAATCATTACAACACATGTTATAAATTATCTAATAATGTAAAACATTAAAATTTGGTTTTCAGAGGCCCTTCTCTGCTCAACCTAGAGCCTGCGCCTTCACCAAAATACTTGGGCTTTTTGGCTAAATCCCTTTCCCTCAAACTTACGTGAAACATTAGGTCACCCCACAATGTTACCTCTAGCCTAGCCCACTCCAATTTTATGTCCCTTTTCAAAATAAAAATAAAAATAAAAATTAATCGCTGGATTTTATAGAAACCATACTTGTCATTTCACCAACAAATAATTGACAAGTAGTTCTAGATACACTGATTTTTTTTTTTTCATATTTTCTTTTTTAATAATAGAGGAAAGGAGGGGGAAGAAAGAGGCAAACTACACCTTACAAAAAAATTATATGGAAAACATAATTCAGATTTTTTCAACATTGCTGTTTGAACTCAGTAATACGAAACAATAAGATATGCAATCAAGATTTTTTCACGGCAAGTGGACATATACAACGTAACACGAAACGGTATGACTTTTTAATGAATTTATTATTTCAAAATTAGTAATCACAAGCGATATTTCAGTAGCGTAATAACGTTGACCTGATTGTAAGGGAAAATGAATTTAAACTGATTAAAAACTTTGATTTGGACCGATTTGGTTTAATAAATTTTTTTTGAGCGATTTGAATCGAATTATCTACATTAAATTCGAGTTGATTTAGGACAGGTCGATATATATTTATATTTTTCATTCTTCAAAACCGCAAGCATTGGTATAGTGATTAAAGATTTTGATATCAGTGATATAAGATTTTGATTAACCATGAGCACGACGTTATAAGTTCGAATATCAGTGATATTATTGTATTAAAAACAATATTTTCCTTTCTTGTAATAAATATATGTTTATACTTTTTTAACAAATTTTATTAATTAGTAAAATTAAATTTAAAAATATTAAGAAAAATCCTAAAAAAGTTATACTCCTAGTGAGGACTTTAACCAAAATAATATTTTTTTAACAAACAATTTACTAAAATTAAATAAAAATTTATTAATTATTATAGTTAGTGATAGGTCATTAAATTCATGTTTTCAGTTGGTTTTTTTTATTATTCTTAAATATTTTTTTTATAATGGGTGTCATTTTTTTTATTCTGGATTTTATATTGTTTGTAATGGGGATTACATATTTGGAGCTTAAATTTTGATCTTTTCACAAACCGGTGTCATGGATTTTAAAATCTTCCTGTTTAATTCATAAATTATAACTATGCCACTAATTAATCCTTCCTTTTCATATATATTATATACTTGAGGAGGACAAAGTCCAGAAACAAAAGGCTAAAGTAGAGGCCGTATCATTCATTAAGAGATTTCAGGAATATTTTGAATATAATTGTCGATTCTTGTCAAATAAGAATTGATGAGGATTTATTGTAATTTGGTCCGATTTAGGAATTATCATAATAAATAGTTCTAATATTCCATTCTTTTTCCATTTTGATTTTTAGGTAACAAATTCGGTTGGGTAATATGTCCAACTCTTATACGTAATAAAATTCGATCGTGTCTGTAGTGGAATTAAGCACATATTATCTCATTTTTTACAAATGTCTTATCTCATTAAGAGGTATAATCATGAGAAACTGATCACTGCGTCCATGAAGGACGAGGTTTATCGCCTTCTAAGGAGAAAGAAGCCTCGTCATTTCGTCCTCG